CCCGAATAGTCATCATCTTCGAGGGACAGAAAAATTGAACATTAAATGCGGTGACCAGCTCCTCCCATGAAGTGATTGAATTTCGTGGTAATTCAGCTAGCCACTTGCAAGCTTCCCCTATCAATGAGAAAGGGAATAGTCTTAATCGAACTGATACCTGAGAGATGTTCTTGAACGAGAAAGGTCCACACACATCCACGAAGTTTTGAAGATGGTCTTGTGGGTCCTCATGAGCCAATCCACTGAAAAGTCCTTTTAGTTGCAAAAGTTGCAACATGGTGCTTGTTATGTGGAACACCGCATTATCCTCTGCTGGAGGTAGACGGATGGCTCCGACACCTCCCATGAGATGTGGATCATTGATGTTGGACTCTTGGACATCGTTGAGGTTACCAATGTCGTCCTGATGTCCCACTTGGCTCCCGTTACCACCGTTAACACTCATACTTTCTGAAATGTTTACACAATCAATAGAACAAAACTAAAAATTAAATTAGTGAACTACAACTAAGAAGAATAAAAATTCTATTAATAAAAAAATATTCAAATAACACCACTCTCCGGCAGCGGCGCCATTTTCATGCTTATCGTGACCAACGACATTAACCTACGATATAAGTGTCTACGATCATCGATAGTATAGTAACCCAACTAAAGGTTGGGGTCGTGTCCCAAAGGAGTGGATTTGAGAATCGATAGAAAAATAAAATTTAGCTCTAACTAGTTGTAGCTAAAGACATTAACGAACAAAAACATTGTAAATAAAGGGGTTACACGAAAGTGTCAAATATCGATTTTGGGGTTTTGTTACAAGTAGTAAAAACAACAAAAATTAACAAGAGAATCAAGTATGGGGAAATATTCTTGGGGTGTGACCGCAATACAAGTTGGGTACATTCTTTTGGCAAGAAATTTGTAAGATAATAGTGACTAGGCAAGGCTTCAAATGGAAATAAGTTCCCTCTCGGGCAACTTACCTCATTTCAAATACGTTTCTCTCGGACACCCATTTACAATATGAAGACCAACCGACGCCTTACCCCACTCACTCTCTCGAGCTCAGTGTTAGGATATGGGACTAGGGCTCACCCTCTTGGGCTGAACCTCATGTTGACCCACTCCTTAGGCCATCGGTCTAGTGGTCTTTGTTTCGCGATCTCCCTCTCGGGTAAGCCGAAAACTCATGAGTGGCTTTGAATTTGCAACTACAAAACCTTTAGATTAACCACAACCTCTAGGTGAAATCACCATTAAACTACATCTAACCTATCAACAAGCAAGGCCCAACAATAATATCAACACATATTTGCTAAATCAGACCCCAAGAATGTTGGTTTTTAGCCACACATCAAGAAATAACAAAATACACCTAAAATGCTAATAAAATCAAATGGGTATAAGAAATTAAACCTTAATTTAGGCAAAGGAAGAAAAATAGAGATGACCTACTTCCAACTTGGGGAAGATGAACTCCTTTCTTCAAGTTCCCAATCCCAAAAACCCTCTCCAAACTTGAGAGAAAATATCTAAGAAGTACTATTTTATTCTGGAAATGAAAATAAAAGTTTGACTCTTAAAAATAATAATAAGTTCAGTATTTATAGATTTCAGAAAATAGCACTGGCGGATATTTCGGTGAAGTTAATTGATGTCGCTGAATGACTTCGGTGACTTGCCCTTCGTTTGTCTCATCGCCGTTTCGTGCTTGCCTATAGCACCTTCACATTCTGGACCATTGGGCGGTATAGTAATGCTTCACGGAACTATTCAGTAAAGCACCGACTGCTCCTTTCATTGCCTTTTTGATCTTTCTCCTTCAGGGCTTCGCGTAAATCCCTTCGGCGAATCGCCAAGTGTGCTTGGCGATTCTCGGGTTTCAGCTTCGTCGTTCTTTTTAGCCTTTTTGTTCCTTTTTGTACCTAAGTGTCCATGTTCACTAAAATTTCAGATACCTGAAACTTAAGAGTTTTCATCAGATATTTAGACAAAATAAGCATCCGAGGACACTATTCTTATCAAAATAAAGCCATAAGTGAGTCTAATTTGTGGACTCATCAAAGACACCTCTATTTATAATACTAACAACCAAAGTAAACTAGAAATAGGAAACTCTCAAACTAATAAATCTTAATTAAACATAAATAAGGAAATATCGTAAATAATAAATCCTAGAAGTCTCAATGATTACAACTTTGAATTATTAATCCAATGATTACAAATGCATAGAAATTAAAGGTATTAATAATACACTCCTTAATATACAATAGAGTTGTAACACCTCGAATTTGAGAAAGGGAAAAAAATAGCATTTTACAAAAGTTCCTGGTGCCATTCGACGGAGGCCAACTACGACTCGTGGAGTGAACCACAGAACGTAGGTCTGGTCCGTGGATTGGCCATCCAAGAGGGCTCAAAGGACCACGATCCATGACCTGGACCAATGGATCGTCGTTGGGTCCATGGTCCGTGGATCATGGACTCAATATCTAGTTTTTTATGACGAATGACAGATGTGCAGGACAGACCGTCGGTCAAACCACGGTCTGTTGGTCAAGGTGTGTAGGTCGATGGTCGGCAGTTATTCTAGGGGTAATTGGGTCTTTTCCTAAATATTTTATCCTAATACTATGTCATTTTGCCTATGCCTACAACCCTATATAAGTGATTTTTACCCCAAATCAATTCATTCACTTCAAATTTACCAAAAGTAGTTAAGTTTTTCTCTCCCAAAGATATTTCTCTCTGTAGAAGGTTGAAGAAGAATATTCAAGCTAGGGTTCAAGATAAAGCCTTGATTCTTCAATTGATTTTGGGCTTAGATAGTGATGTATGATAGTTTTCATCCATGGATTCCTTCCATTCATGGAGTTCCCAAATTCTCCTATTTTCAAAGTTAGAAATCCCTAATTGAGTTAGGGTTTTCTTCAATTGCCATGGGTTCTCTTGCTTGTTTATTTAAATAACTAAATTATGATCTCTTATGCATGAATTTATGAAATGCAATAATTTTATGACGATTCCCTTATGGACCCATGAAGTCCCCATGTTTTTCAAGTTATGAGCATATAATGTGGGTTTTTAATTATGAAAGAGTAGATTATGAATTAGTCATGTTCTCATGATATTTATGTAAATGTTTGAAGGATGCTTTGAGAGTGAAGTATCAATGATGATGATTGTTGTTGTGTTGTTGAAAGGATTTCTCATAAAGACATTAAAACATGATTTGTGAAAGGACATTCTAACATAAAGTATTCTTAGGGTTGAAAGGATTTCTCAACTACACTATAAATCAAAGTTCTTAGGAGCTGTTCTAATAAGACCTATCTTGGATCGGTTACTTGATTGTACCCTTCCCTGGATGACATATGACTTAGCTTGGATTTGCAAGATGACGTGCCCTTCCATGGATAATGAGAACAAATTAAGAAAATGACTACTCCATGGGAATTATGCTTAGCACCAAGAGGATATTTAGATGAAGGCTCTCCCGTTAGTAGATTCCGGGTTTCTAGTAGCAATCTACTTATCCCTTACCTAAGTGCCCCCATAGGATGATTGTATAGATAGACATTAGCTAGTGGATCCACGATGGCTAAAAGTTCATGGTCCTTTCTTGGTAAGTAAGACACCCTTTTTCGGTGTGGGGTAGACACCGGATTCCATGTTGATAGCTCACATGGTCTTATATGTCAGTTAAGCATATTTCCCACAAATAAGAAAAGGTATGATGAACCAAGGATACTTTAAGGAAGTATCGTAAGTATGTTTTAAGATGATGTTCACTTGCATTGATTATGGTTTTATGACTTATGGTTTCTAACTCTGAAGATGCATGTTTTAGCTTGATCATTTCTTACTCATGAAAATGTCCCTTTTTAACATGTTTTAAATGTTTATATACATTACTATCATACTTGGTACATTATTTTGTACTAACACATACTCTTGCCTACATTTCCCCAAATGTATTGACAAGTGTGTAGACTTTCGATTTGTTTTTATAAAACTCTGGACTTTGAAAGGTTGTCTTTATTTCCTGTATTCTATTTGTGATATTATGAATTTTGAGTGGCTTGTATGGGGCCTCTCGGTGTCCAATACGCCATGTTATATCTACGGTGTACTCCTGGGTCGTGACGAACTTGTTAATTAGAGCACAAGGTTTAGAATGGTCCTAGGATGTCTCATAAGCCATGTCAAGTAGAGTCTTGTTCATGAGTGTTAAGCGCGCCACATTTATGAATGATAGTCTACAAGATGATTAGGAAACTCTACTTCTTTCATTACTGTAAAGTCGTGCGATAGAGTTTAACTCTATAAAGTATCTCTCCTAATCCTTATTCAATGCTCTATAGGATATGGCTACTCAAAGAGCTTATACTAGAAGGAATGTGATGGAGAATGCGAACCAAGAAGGTCCTCCTCAAGCTCCTCAAGCAACGGTCGACCCTTTGGCCGAGCAAGTGACTAATGTGGAGTTTAGGGTTACTTTTCAGGTATTGGCTCAAGCCATGACGTCCCAAGCCAATAGGGAGGTTGCGGTTCCCGTGAACCCAAATTTGGGTACAACAACATCTAGAGTGAGGGACTTCACTAGAATTCTGGAGTTTCATGGTTCTAAGATTGATGAAGATCCTCAAGAGTTCATTGATAGAGTTTACAAGGCATTGGTGATAAGGGGAGTGACGCCAGTGGAAAAGCGGAGTTGGCTGCTTATCAACTTAAGGGTTTCGCTCAAATATGGTACAACCAATGGAAAGAAGGGAGGTCGGAAGATGCGGGTCCTCTTGATTGGGAAAAGTTCAAAGTTTCTTTCCTTGATAGGTTCTTTCCCCTTGAGATGAGGGAGGCAACGATGCTTGAGTTCATCAACCTTCATCAAGGAAGCATGAGTGTGAAGGAATATCCTTTGAAGTTCACAAAATAGTCTCAATATGCTCCCACAATGGTCGCCAATCCTAGAGCCAAAATGAATAAGTTTGTTTCGGGTGTCCGAAATGGTTATTAAGGAGTGTTGTACAGCCATGCTTGTTAATGAAATGGACATTTCTCGTCTCATGGTTCATGTTCAAGAGATCAAAGAGGAGAAACCTAAGGAAAAGTCTAGGGAGACAAAGAGGGCGAAAACTGGTAATTGTAATTTCTCTCATGCAAGGTCTGATGAACATGGTCGTTCAAGATTTTGACAAAGGTTTTCCGGTGAAATTTCCTCCAATGCTCCTACTAAGTTAAAAAAACATAGGGTGTCTAACCCTAAGCCTCAAGGAGGAAATGGTAGTGGGTCCTTATTGCCTACTTGTGCTAATTGTGGAAGAAAACATAATGGTAAATGTCTAGCGGGTTCCAATGCTTGTTTTGGTTGGGGTAAGATGGACCACAATATAAGATATTGTCCATATGTTGCTAAGAATGAAGAAGATAATCACCGAAGGGCTCAAGATAATCCTTCATCTGGTCAAAGTTGTTCGGGTCCAAATGCTCCTAAGCAAAACAAATTCTATGCACTTCAGACTCATGGTGAGCTAGAGGGTTCTCCCGATGTGGTCATCAGTATGTTGAAAGTCTTCCAACTTGATGTTTATGCTTTACTTGATCCTGGTGCTACCTTGTCTTTTGTGACTCCATATGTGGCTATGAGACTTGATATTCTTCCGGATGTGTTGTTAGATCTTTTTTCAGTCTCTACTCCTTTAGGTGATTCTATTGTGGCTAAGAGTGTCTATAGAAAGTGTCTAGTTTCCTTGTCCTATAGAGTTACTTTTATTAACTTGGTAGAGATTGATGTGCTAGATTTTTATGTTATCTTTGGTATGGATTGGCTGCACTCGTGTTATGCTTCTATTGATTGTAGAACTCGTGTAGTCAAGTTTTAGTTCCCGAATAAGCCTGTTCTAGAATGGAAAGTGGGAAATTCTATGCCTAGGGTCAGTTGGTTTCTTGTCTTAAAGCTAGAAGGATGATTTCTAAGGGTTGCATTTACCATCTAGTTAGGGTGAGGGATGTGGATTCCGAAACCCCTACTCTTCAGTCAGTCCTCGTAGTTAATGATTTTTTGGAAGTGTTCCAAGATGATTTACCCGGTATTCCTCCCGAAAGGGAAATAGACTTTGGTATTGACCTCTTCCCAGATATGCAACCTATCTTCATTCCTCCTTATTGAATGGCTCCGGCAGAATTAAAAGAGTTGAAAGGGCAATTGAAAGATTTGTTGGATAAGGGTTTCATCTCACCGAGTATCTCTCCATGGGGTGCTCCAGTTTTGTTTGTTAGAGAGAAGGATGGTTCTCTCCATATGTGTACAGACTATCAGTAGTTGAACAATGTTACTGTTAAAAATAAGTATCTCCTTCCAAGGATAGATAATTTGTTTGACCAACTTCAAGGAGCAATTTACTTCTCCAAGATTGACCTTCGGTCGGGTTATCACCAATTGAGGGTGAAAGAAGATGACATTCCAAAAATGGCTTTTCGAACTTAGTATTGTCATTATGAGTTTTTGGTAATGTCATTTGGTTTGACTAATGCTCAAGCCGTTTTTATGGACTTGATGAATATGGTATTTTAGACAATACCTTGACATGTTTTTGATTGTGTTCATTGATGATATATTGAACTATTCGAGAAGTGAGGATGAGTATATTGATCATTTGAGGATCGTGTTGCAAATTATCAAGGACCAACAAGTTTTTTGCAAAGTTTAGCAAATGTGAATTTTGGTTGAGGTCCATGGCTTTCCTCGGTCACATTGTTTCAAGTAAGGGTATTGAGGTAGATCCTAAGAAGGTTGCGGTCAAGAGTTGGCCTAGACCTCTATGCCCTTTAAATATTAGAAATTTCTTAGGTTTAGCCGATTATTATAAGAGTTTGTTGAAGGGTTCTCTTCGATTGCCTCTCCTTTGACGGCTGTCACTCAAAAGAATGCTAAGTTCATATGGTCCAAAGCTTGTGAAAAGAGTTTCCAAGAGTTGAATGATAGACTTACTTCCACTCTGGGGTTGACCTTGCCGGAAGGGACTGATAGGATGTGTACTTATGCAAAATGGGAAAGTCATTGCCTATGCTTTAAGGAAACTTACGGTTAATGAAAAGAATTATCCTACCCATGACTATGAACTAGTAGCAGTTGTTTTCGCCTTAAAGATTTTGAGGAAGTATTTGTATGGTGTTCACGTTGACGTTTTCACCGATCATAAGAGTTTGCAATATGTGTTTAATCAGAAGGATCTAAATCTTCGCCAAAGAAGGTGGCTTGAGTTATATAAAGATTATGATATGAGTGTTCTCTATCACCTTGGTAAGGCAAATGTGGTGGCAGATGTTCTGAGTTGGTTATCTTTGGGAATTGTTGCTCACATTGAGGAAGATAAAAAAAAGTTAGTTTGAGATGTTCATAGATTGGCCCGGTTGGGTGTTCAGTTAGTGGACTCTACCAAGGGTGGTATTATGGTTCACAACGGATCACAATTGTCTTTTGTGGAGGATGTGAAAGTTAAGCAAGGTCAAGATCCAACTTTGGCGAGTTAAAAGAGGCGGTGCTTAAAAAGTCTGTAGAGGCTTTCTCCCCAGGGGAGATGGGGTACTTAGATATCAAGGTCGTTTGTGTGTTCCTAATGTTGATGACTTGAGGGAACATATCTTGTCAGAATCCCATAGTTCTCGATATTCTATTCAGCCGGGAACCGCCAAGATGTACCATGATTTGCGAGAGATCTATTGGTGGAATAGAATGAAGAATGATATTGCGGGATTTTTGGCTAAGTGTCCTAATTGACAACAAGTGAAAGTTGAGCATCAGAAACCGGGAGGTTTATCCCAAGACATTAGAAATCCTATTTGAAAGTGGGAAGACTTAAATATGTACTTTATTGTGGATTTTCCTCGCACCCGGCGACAACATGACTCGATTTGAGTCATTGTAGATAGAATGAAGAAATCAACCAATTTCATCCCCATCAAGATTTCTTATTTGGCGGAGGATTATGCTAAGTTGTACTTGAGAGAAATAGTGAAGTTGCATGGAGTTCCTTTATCCATTTTCTCCGATCGTGGTACCCAATTCACTTCACAGTTTTGGAAATCTATCCAAAAAGGTCTTGGTACTCGTGTCAAGCTTAGTACGGCTTTTTATCCATAAACCAATGGGCAAGCAGAGCGACGATCCAAACCTTGGAAGATATGTTGAGGGCTTGTGTGATTGATTTCAAAGATCATTGGGATGACTATTTGCCATTGATCAAGTTTACCTATAACAATAATTATCACTCTAAGTATTGGTATGGCTCCTTTTGAGGTCCTATATGGTAGGAGGTTTAGATCGCCTATAGGATGGTTTGAGGTGGGTGAAGTTGCCCTAATAGGGCCCTAGTTCGTACATGAGACCATGGAAAATGTTTGACTTATTAGAGAAAGGTTGAAAATGGTTCAATTTTGGCGCCGATGTAAGAAGAAGAAATCATGAGTTTGATGTTCATGATGGGGTTTACTTGAAAATTTCACCCATTAAGGGTGTAATGAGGTTTGGTAAGAAAGGGAAGCTTAGTCCCATTTATGTAGGCCCATATTAGATTTTGAGGCGTATTGGTAAGGTTTCTTATGAACTTGAATTGCCTAATCAATTGGCATCAGTGCATCCAGTTTTCCATGTCTCTATGTTGAAGAAATGTGTTGGTGATCCGACCTCCATGGTTCCCTTAGAAGTATTTGGAGTTAAGGAGAATCTTTCTTATAAAAAAGTTCCGGTTGAGATTTTAGACCGGCAAGTCAAGAAGTTGAGAAATAAATAAGTTGCTTCCGTAAAAGTGTTGTGGAGAAATCAATTAGTTGAGGGTGCTACTTCGGAGGCCGAGGCCGATATGATGTCCCGATATCCTCATCTCATTCCTTCTACCCCTACTCTAGCTTGAGGTAATGAGTTCCTCATGGTTTATTCTTTTGGTGTCATGTGTCTTAGATATTGAGATGATTTCCTAATTTATGCATTTTCAAAAAGCTTAAGTTTTGAGAAAATGATTCAACTTGATTGGTTTCTACATGTTTATGTGAGTTTGAGTATTAGTTGCATATATACTTCATCATATGATGTTTTGAATATGCTTTATCTTGGAGTTGATGTTTTCTCCTTGGATCTGTGCATTGCATGCATGATGGGTTGTTATATTTAGTTTCCACCCCTCTTATTATGTCTTGAATCTCATTCAAGGACGAATGATCCCAATGGAAAGATAATGTAACACCTTGGATTTGAGAAAGGGCAAAATAGTAGCTTTTAGAATTTCCTGGTGCCACCCGACGGAGGCCAACCACGGCCCGTGGAGTGAACCACGGACCGTAGGTCTGGTCAATGGATTGGCCACCTAAGAGGGCTCAAAGAATCACAAACCACGACCTGGACCAATGGACCGTCGTTGGGTCCACAGTCTGTGGATCATGACCTCAATTTCTAGTTTCTGACGAAGAATGACGGATGTGCAGGACAAATCGTCAGTCAAACCACGGTCCATCGGTCAAGGTCTGTAGTAGGTCGATGGTCGACAGTTATTCTAGGGGTAGTTGATTTTTTTCCTAATTTGTTTATCCTAATACTATGTCATTTTGCCTATGCCTAGGACCCCTATGTAAGTGATTTTTACCCCAAATTAAATCATTCACTTAATTCCTTTCAAATTCACCAAAAGAAGTTGACTCTTTCTCTCCCAAAGATATTTCTGTCTCTAGTAGGTTGAAGAAGAAGATTCAAGCTAGGGTTCAAGGTCAAGCCTTTCTTCTTCAATTGCTTTTGAGCTTTTATAGTAAGGTATGATTGTTTTCATCGATGGATTCCTTCCATTTATGGAGTTCCCAAATTCTCCTATTTTCAAAGTTAGAAATCCCCAATTGAGTTAGGGTTTTCTTCAATTTCCATGGGTTCTCTTGATTATTGATATAAATGACTGAATTATGAACTTTTATGCATGAATTTATGAAATACTATGATTTTATAATGATTCTCTTGTGAACCCACGAAATCCACATGTTTTCCAAGTTATGAGCATATAATGTTGGTTTTCAATTATGAAAGAAGATATTATGAATTAAGCATGTTCTCATGAGATTTATGTAAATTTTTACCAATGATGATGATTGTTTTGTGCTGTTGAAAGGATTTCTCATTAACACATTAAAGCATGATTTGTGAAAGGACATTCTCACATAAAGGATTCTTAAGGTTGAAAGGCTTTCTCAACTAAACTATGAATCAAAGATCTTAGGAGCTATTATAATAAGACCTAGCTTGGATCGGTAACTTAATTGTACCATTCCCTTGTTGACATATGACTTAGCTTGGATTGGAAAGATGATGTGCCCTTCCATGGATAATGAGAACAAGTTAAGAAAATGACTACATCGTGGGAATTATGATTAGCACTGAGAGATATTGAGATGGAGGCTCTCCCGTTAGTAGAGGTCGGGTTTCGAGTAGCATTCTCCTTATCCCTTACCTATGTGACCCTATAGGGTGATTGTCTAGATATACATTAGCTAGTGGATCCACAATATCCAAAAGTTCATGGTCCTTTGTTGGCAAGTAGGACACCCATTTTCGGTGTGGGGTAGACACTGGATTCCATGTTGATAGCTCACATAGTCTTATATGTCAGTTAAGGTTATTTCCCACAAATAATAAAAAAGCATGATGAACCAAGGTTACTTCAAGGAAGCATCGTAAGTATGTTGTAAGATGATGTTCACTTGCATTGATTATGGTTTTATGACTTGTGGCTTCTAACTGTCAAGATGCATGTTTTAGCATGATCATTACTTACTCATGAAAATGTCCCTTTTTAACATGTTTTGAATGTTTATATGTATGACTATCATACTTGGTACATTGTTTTGTACTAACGCATACTCTTGCCTATATTTCCCTAAATGTAGGGTATGACAATCAGGGTTCTCAGTTTCGTGGCTAGAGGTTGATTTGAGAAGTTCCTGAGCTTTGTTGAGTCCTAATGCTTCAAAGGTCGATTATCATTATTTTTTCAGTTTCTTTCTTACTTTATGTTTTTGACATGATGTATGGGCTAGGCCCAATTTTATTCTATTGTATTAGATGGCCATTGAGAAAAGTGGTTAGACATCCGCTTTGTTCTTATAAAACTTTGAATTTTGAAAGGTTGTCTT